TTCGTTACTTCCCATCTCTGTAAAGCTACCATTGTATTTTTAACTCGTGGTCTTTTCTATTCGAATAAACAGAGACACATTTATCTGGTTGGTGATTGATAAATCGGCTGATAGCTATAGACTAAATTACTAAATTCATTAAAGACAACTGGATTTTAACAGCCAGATTAAGGAGTCCAACCTTTTATGGAAGAGACTAAGAACCCTGGTCAGTAAGTAAATTACAGATATAATCATTCTATTAATAATAATTAATTTGTTTCACCCTTGTTTTGAATGACCTATTATTTAACTATAACTTCCAGTTGTAGTTATTTCATTTATCAGAATCTTCTGGTAAAGTTGCACAACACTCTTTATTAGCCAGAAAAAAAATTGCAAGTTCTCTGAAAATAAATGTAATTTTATTTCCTTTCAAATGTTTCCAGTTTAGGCTTTCTTATAATAAGGATTTACCATTTTTTCATAGATCTAATGAAGACTGATCTGATTTATTATACATTTGGATTTCTTGACCTGTTTAGCTGCTATTATGTGTTTGATTTATGTTTCATAGAGATAATAGTTGAAAGTTTAAAAATTACAAGTTTTTTTAGGCAGGCAGGAAGGTTTCCTACTTCAAATCTTAATATAATGTATTCGATGGGAAATGTTAAAGGATAAAAAATTGCTCTAAACAAGACAGAGATGTAAGATGAGCATCACCATACCTTGCATTGGCCGGTGTATTTGGGTTAAAGAATTGGTAGGACACCTGAGTGGCATACCAGGACACGGACACAAGTGTGCAGAGACCTGCAAAGGAAGAAACAGGATATTTGGTTTTGATTTGTCTCCTTTTTTTAAAAGAGATGCTACAACAAAACAGATTTGGAAGAGTGAGGATCTGTGTTTGGGTCACGTTCCCCTCAGGAATGAGTCTAATTTATGTCTGAGGTCAGCAGATAAATGACCACTTCCTGTTTACAGTTGGGACCTTAACTGCATAACAGAATCCTAGTTTCAGGCTAGAAAAAGGGAAGAACTTCACGTTAAAGAAGGAAATGCATTCCTTTTTTTGGATAGTGAGAAGAAATGATCAAATCAGACCTGCAAGCAGGAAGAGAGCCCCTCCAGCAACAGCAATACGGGTCTTGGTGGAAGGGTTGTTATCTCCAACATTGGTGCACTTCATCCCTACGACGCTGACGATGATGCCGATAAAGCCCAGCAGCACAGAGATCACCATGAGAGCGCGGCATGTCTGGATGTGGACTAAATAATGGAGTAAAAAGAAACGTAAGACGGAGGATGGGTTGGTGCTGTAACAGATGGTTAAAGAAGATTATGTTGAATGTAAAAAAACAACAAACAAACATGTTAAAAACAATAACAAATGTTTCACTGTTTTACTGGAAGAAAACACATAAAACTGGACATTAGGCCGGTAATTGCAAAGGAATTAAGATGCAGATGCTGCAGAGGTCTAACCATAACACTGTCCCACTTTTCACAACATATTTATTTCAAACTTTTAATTTCATAGAGGCGGACTATCTAGCCAAGCTGTGGGATTCCATACGATCCTCCAAATCATCATTCCAGAGCGGCTTTGCTGTTTAAAAATGTGAACACATTGCCCACATTCGCCTCAGCACACACATAACTTAGTGGGAGGAAGAAAATTACACAGAACCACCACATGCTTTCATGCATACATACAAAGTGCACAATGCACTGGCCGTAGGTGGGACAGGCACAGATGATGCTCTTTCTCTGGCAGCCGTAGGACGTGGTGTTCTACGTGCACCACACAGAGAAACCAGTGTGGCTTTGTAACAAAGCTGGATTGTTTTCACAGAGGCATTAATTCCTCCATCAGGGCCGTTTACAGATATACTGTGTAGCAACCAGTGGTCACTGAAATGAAAAAGGCCAAAGGACGGAATAAATAACATTATGAATCATAATAGATAGACAGATGGAGGGAGCTGACGGACGCAATGAAACACGCAGAGCAATTTATGAGAGGAATAGCTTGAATCAATTATTGTTCAAAAGCTCAGTTTGTTTAAATGTTTAAACATTTTGAGCAGAGAGAGGTTTCATTAACACACACTGCCAGTCACAGTGAGTAACGGGGGGGGGGGGGGGGGGGGTGTAAGGCTGGTACTGCCAGCCACAAACTGTCAGTGCGTCTGCTGGTGCCTGTAAGCACGCGTGTTTGTGCAGGCGATGTGAGATCTCATTGTTATGTCACTTCTGACTATTCAGAACAAAATCTACAGCTGCATGAGAAAAGATCAACCAACTAAGCCAACAGCGTGGAGAGATGTTAAAAGGACGCTTCAATTAAACTGAGCCTAACTGTTCTACCTACAAATTAAATAAAGGACATAAACTCTCACCGTTCTCACAAAAAAAGCCCGAGCCAGGAGCTTTGATGCGTCACAGGCTCACAATGGCCCCTACATGTAAGGGCCGGCTGGGGCCACCATAACATGTGATGCAACGGCTGGGAAATGTTTTTAAAGCTAAAGCATTCCTTCACCCGTACTCTAGTGTCACACCCATTACTCGCTGTAAATAACACTCAATGAAAGTTATTTTTTTATATATATTTTCCTGAAATGAACTGAGACAGAGAAGAAAACCTGAATCCATTTAAGATCCATCCAGATGATAACCTGGAAAACTAGAACAGAACTTAGAAGTTTCCTTTGCCAGTTTCATACCAGTGGTTTTCATACATGGATCAAATAAAAAATAATTGTTTCCACAAATCATGAGTCGTCTTTGTGGCTTTGTGACGGAGCAGTTGCAAAATGGCTTTTAAATACCACTTTATTAATTTGCCAAACATTAGACGTTCGTTGTAAAAATTGAACCTAATTAGCATTGCTGTCAATCATTGCAGATGAAACTTAAAGGATTTCATCCCTGTGACCCGTTGCCCTTCAGGTTGCATTCAATGATTTTACGACCTTCTCAGCAGATACTTAGGTCTGCAGAGGAAAACGTGTAAAACATCCAGCACAGGGAGGACAGAGTCTGAAACCTACGGAAGAGGATTAGGGCCACTGGAAAAAAAAAAAAAGTTAACTGATTTCTTTTAATTTTATTTCAGTATAGTATGGGGAAAAATCAGAAAGAGCTCAAATTAGAAACTCTTGTGTCCATTAATGAATTTAAAGCAACCATGAAGAATGTAGTGATGGAGATATGTGCTTGTTTTTCTTGAGATGCTCAATGTGTTTTAACATACTGCTCTGATTTTATTTTTTTATGTTTTTAATTCTTTATTTTTTATTTTGCAAAATGTAAT